ATAAATCATTTCAGTGTTATTATGAGTCATTATTTGTAAGCAAGACATTTTAAAGATTTCGGATATGTCGTTAAACAGCTGGAATGTATAGGAATTGAGGTAGTGTTTGAGTCACATAAAGGAGGCAATTTGAATTAAGATTATTGCAAGGAGAAGCTTTCTGGATTCATAAATTAAAGTCATTTACCCCAAGGTGAATAAATGAGGAATTGGACCTTTCTGTGATTCTTTAATGGTTTGTTGTTTATGGATTTTTAGTATGTAAAGATGTGATGAAAATGTATTTTTAATGTTTCTGGATTTTACCGCATTGACACATAAAAAGTGCAATGGAAACATCGCTTTTAAAGGTGGTGAAAAATATTTCTTGTGTGGTTAAATTTATTGAAAGGAAAATAAGAAGGTTTATAACTATTGAGTGATCATCTAACTACTGTGATAACACAATCTCATGGCAATTCGTAACTTTAATTTAGTGGCTAATTCGTACATTTTAGTATGATTTGCTCTTCCCCCAATGACGGTTGGGTTTAAGGGTGGGGTTAGGTGCCACGCCTCCTTTTTAAAATCATACAATTTCGTACGACTGAACTCTAAACTGAACAAAACATAAAATACTTACGTTTTCTCGTGAGATCAGGCTGACTGAGATAAAACGGTGGGGCAAGAGGATTGTGTCACGCACTAAGGGTTTAACCAGTTATCAAGAGAGTTACGACAAAAGGTTGGATATAAATGCAATTTTTAATGAAAAAGATTATTCGTGCAGAAAACTGCGAAAACAAAGCGATGATGATCAAAGTACAAAAAGTTACAAAGCAATCATCAATACATAACTTAAAAAACTATAAACAGGACGACACTCACTGAAACCATACAGGTACTGACAAAGAAAGACTCCGCATTGACTGGTGTGTGAAATGTGTATAAATAGTCCAAACAATTGATGATGATGATATTCAGCTGTGTGTGATTAATGGTGAGTGGTTTGTGCAAAGGCATGCTGGGATATGTAGTTCCAGAATGACATGTCTAGTATGCCAGCGATCTTTCAGGAGCAGATTGCTGGTTATGTGACAGAGGAAGGCATTGTGAACCTTAAATAACAGTTGTAAAGTTGTTATTTTTTATTTCATGTGTTAATTTTTGTTACTTCACTCTCAATATCATTAGGCATAAATCCGTTGATTCGTTTTTTTTAGATTTTTTTTTCTCTCATAGGCTGATTGGTGCCATTAAGCATTTACAATGGTATGAACCATTATAGGGGTGGTAAAATGTGTATTTATATTATCTGTTGTTTTGATTTGTGATATTATTATTTAGGATACAAATCAGAGAAAACTATTTCCCACTATTAAAGAGCTGACCCCTCATACTTGTTGTTTTGGCAATTCCCTCCAAACCCCCCTGTAATTCACACTGAGGCAACCAAAATTACCAGTAACTTACTGTAATTTTTGCAGTAGATTTCGTACAATGTAGAAACCTCCATGCCCTTTTTATTGTCTAACAAATCTAATACTATTTAGTATTCTCTATTGGATTCAGGTCAGGTGAATGGCTGGGCCATTCTACAACTTGATTTTCTTTCTCTGAAAGCATTTGAGAGTTTCCTCGGCTGTGTTTTGCATCATGCTGAAATGTTATCTTCATCATCCTGCTAATGTACTGTATGTTGGACTGAAGCAGCAAATATTAATTTACAATGATGAAGGCCAGAGGGTTGCTGAGAGATTACAGCTACTCTCTGGGCTTTCACTGCCTTTCTACACCTCCCTTTCTTCATGTGATCAATACTTTTCCCCTGTGTCATTTCATTTCATTACGCATATCATCATTGGTAAACTTTTTAGTTTTGTTTTATTTGCATAAATTTCTTTGGTTGTAACCAAAATTCAGTGAACATTTCAAGTCAATGGCACCTGTCCCAGTGACCTGTGGTGACCCGTTCAATACTTATTTTACCCACTGAATACTTGTTCTTCATGCATAAAATCAAATGTTGTATTGTTGTTGCTGCTCAAAAAAAAGGCCCACAGCCCAACCCATAATCTGATGAACATGACTTGAGTCAGATACTGCAGATAGTCCTGACATCCTGGGTGTAGCTCCTAATTCAAACCTCCTATTAAATACACCACTGATACGTACAAAGACAAAGCTGAAACGTCTAGACATTCATCCTCCACCTGTGTTTTTTAGGAGGACTGCAATTTTTTGGTCATTTTTAAAGCCCGGCACTTCCAAAGCATGTCATTAATGCTTCTCAAATATAGGCTGTATGTACTCTAACCTAAAGAAAACCCTTATTATATAGAAACTGGAGAAGTCTCTTATTATTGGTGGTGCTGGAGATTTGAATATGAATTTTGATTTGACCTTAAAGATGGAGTGTGTATGTTTTAAAGGGCACGATGATGACAATCAACGATTGTAAGCTGTTTGGACAGATCTGTGTGTAGGTATAGTGTGTCCACAGTCATATTGGAATGATATAAACACAACAGGTCTCTTTTTTTAATTTCCTGACGTTAAAATAGGACCCAAATCCCAGTGATTTTGAGGCCCATCGCAACGTGACTTAGGAGTGTGTTTTCCCCACTTACCGAATTGATTGATTGATACATGTATACACGTCCACAGAACTTTTTTTTTTGCATAGAAACTGTGATTAAAATATGTTACAACTCTCTGTAATCATCTGCACTTCAATAGTTAATGTAATAAGTTCAGAGAGTAAAATCGCCATCTACTTCTTAACCGCTATAATCACTACAGATGCACAGTGTCATTTAATGCGCTTATGTGTTTTTGTGTGTTCTGCAAAGGGCATTTATGGGACTCATCATTTCAGAAAGGCTTGAATAAACTTCGCCACAAATACATCAAATAAACTTACTTTGTATTTTTGACTAATGAACTGTATTTCAGCTTCATCCGTGCCTGTCTCTGTCACTGATTGCTGTTTATCTGACATATGCATAAGAAGCTAACACACACGTCTGAGCGGAGGGTAGGGAGAAGTAGCTACAAAAACAGCTACATTATCCTCACACACCAAAATGGGCATATTATACATTATATAATTAATAATATGATAAGTATATTAAGTTGAAACTTTACGTACACATTCTGGAGACACCAAAGACTGATTATACATCTTGTAAAAGAGGTAAAATAGGTGCCCTTTAATGATTCATTCATTCATTTTCGGCTTAGTCCCTTTATTAATCTGGGGTCACCACAGCGGAATAAACCGCCAAATTATCCAGCATATATTTTTTTATGCAGTGGATGCCCTTCTGAAGCTGAAACCGGAGCACCCGGAGGAAACCCATGCCAACATGTGGAGAACATGCAACCTCCAAACAGAAACACCAACTGACCAAGCCGACGAAAACAAACCAATTAAGTGCAAAATTTCTGCATTTAAAGCTTAAGTTTAATTTTAGAGACTTTTCATTTTTACAGAAATTTTAAAAACACTTATAAATTTCTCACTTTATAGCTTACATTTATTTATGTGTCTGAGTTAAATATAATTTTCGTTTATGTTCTGAGAACTACTAAATTTCCCCTAAATTTAATTTAAAAAAAAGTTATATTTTTATTATTTAATTACTTATATTATTTATTCAATCACAATTATTATTATTGTATAATTTGTGTTCTATTATTTATTTTCATCCATTAATATTATTTTCTTTTCTTTAGCATTGTTAAAATGGCCATTGTCTGTTAGTGTTGTTTCAATGTCATTGTTATTAATAGTTAAAAAGTATATAAAATTGCAATACAAAAATATTACATTGCCCTTTTAGGCAGGTTTAATTAAATTTTTTTATATTCAACTATGCCATACCAATGATTAATTGAAAAATGTATAAGGTGTAATAGCTGATCACAACAAACAGAGATGGGCAGCATTTCTGATACATGTATTTCGTATTTTAAATACAAAATAGTATTTTGTAATTTGTATTTGATAGGGTTTATGAAAATGGCTTGATATTTTGTATCAAAATACTTTAGTGTCCTGTATTTTTGTACTTTTAAAATACTGTAAAATACTTTGTTAGAAGACTGTGTGTTGGGTGTTATCGACTCTTACATTTAAGAAGACTTGTTTGTCGTTAAAACAAACAACATAAAAATAAATTGGTTGTTTCAAATGCCAGTCGTTGATCAGTAGGTCCACTGTACAGTTAATGAAGAGGAAAGTTTTTACATTGAGTTTTGAAGAGTCCAGTAGCAAAAAAAAAAAAAAAAAAAGATTTCTAAAAAATTCTGTGAACAAAAATTTTTAATTAACTCTTTATTTAAATATTATTGTCTTGATATTAAAATATTAAGACCTTGATAAATCAATGTACAGGGATGATGGCAATTTTACTGGCCACATTTGCTATCAAACATTGTTTACTTCACTAAGTCAGTTTAACGGGGAAGGGATTGATCAAAAAGGTCTAATTAGTAGAAGATTTGCAAAGAAATGTCATGCTCGCTTTTAAAAGTATGTTTGTAGTATTTTTAAATACAAAATACTTTTTTTTTTTACAATATTTTGATACACATTGTGACTGCTGTATTTTGTAGTTTATTTTGATACACCTAAAATAAAGGTATTTGGTATTTTGCTTTATAATACATTTCCAACCCTAACACATTTGTTACTTTAGACAACTAAGATTTTTATGCAAACAATACAAACTCTAAATTGGAGAAAATGTTACCAAACCTTAAATAAATGGTTATATAATAAAAACCAATGTTATAATTGTACACAAACACATAATAATTCCATATAGAGAAACTGAATTATAAAGTGCTCTCTTATTTATTTATTTTTAAGGTATTACAGTATATATCTGTCTCCATTTATATTAGGCTGTTTCTATTTAGTTTGTTTACTAATATCTGTATTTTTTGTGTTGTCATCTTGGGGCGGATCCAGCGCTTCATGTGTGTGACGTCACAAGTTACGTACAAATACTCCTGCGCCACCGCGCAAATCTTCATTATCGTTTCAGCGACCACACGAGGACAGACTGAAGGTTACCTGCTTCAACAGTGCTTGAACGGCAACCGATCTTCTGTCTTTTTCGCCATTTTCATCAATCGACTTCAATTCCAAGCATTTTGTTTTCGGTCAAAATCGAAAGTTTTGTTTTAAGACGCTTTGCTTTGAAACATCTGCGCAAACCCGCGTCATTGACCATCTCTACGAATAACACCAGAAACGCAGTAAAACCGATCTAAGGTAAGTTTTTCCAACATATTTAATTAAATAGATTGTCTGTTTACTCCGTACATGGAGCGAAAACTCGCTTGCTTGTCGATTGTGGCATCTTTAACGCTAACGTTACTTGAACGAGCCACGCAAAGGCGCCATCTTTGTTTTTGTTTGTATTGATTCAGTATTGTAAAGAAAACGGTGAAAACGCTACAAATTCGCTAAATTTTAGGTTAATTTGCATATATTTAATTCATGGAAACGCTACATTTTCCTTAAATACATCGAATTTACACATGTCTGAAACACGCCCAATAACGTTATTAATACGACTGTTTTGTGCATGTTATTTTACATGTAGCATGTAATATATTGCGCTGAAACTGTTCTAGGTTAACGTTTTTGCATAGCAGCATTTCGTTAGGTTATAATCGTCTAAATTTCAACTAATCGATTTTATTAAGCACGATGGTGATTCCCAATGGAGAAGAGCATGTGGCTAGAGCTCTCGAGCTCATAAAGGGATTGGATTAAGTGACGTTAAACGCAACAAAAATCTTACAGAAAGGTGTGTTTGTATATATAATATTCCACGTCTAACTTTAGATAGATTAAACTACTTGTTCGCAATGTTTTTGTTTGCTCCTAAACATTATAACGTTACTAAATAATGACGCAATCGCATTAACCACGGCGTTCATTTGTTTGTTTCTTCAAAATAGTCTTTCACGTTTATATTTGACGATTGTTTTTCAAATCTCATCGGTTGGTTAAAAGCCATACGTTGTATTTATCTATTTTTTTTATATCAGCAATAGCATAATTTTATACAATGCATAGACTTTACCATTTTGTAGTTATCTAATTATTTCTTTAATAATATTAATACGTATTCAAGTTATTATTGTCAATCATTGTGATTTTTTTTTCTTATTTTTCTTGGTTGATCTGCACGTTTAGCGTTTTAAAGCTTAAAAAAACCAATTCTCCTAGCTAACATCTAGTTGCACATACATAACCAATGCAAATGTCTGGAAATTTCCTGTATGTCTTTAAAGGGCTTAAAAATCACCTGAAACTTTTCTTTAGGTTTGACTAAATGTTCTCATGTTTTCCCTTTTCCTAATCCTTTATTTGGTAAACAGACAACTAGATTTAGTATTATATGTGCTATCTTGTATAAAAATGAACCATGCATTTACTACAAAAAATCATTGTAGTTAAGCCAAATTAAACATGGAACTTATTGTACAACTTTGAAAACTCATAGTAATCACTCTACCAAAAATATAAAAAACATTACTACACTAATAAAAAGTCACGGTTAATTTTAATGAGGCACATAGTTTGGCGTGTTACTGCAGGTCAAGTTTCAGAACAATGTCTTAATTATAGTTGCGTTATTTATATGTTCGACGTTGGCTGACTTCTTCAGTAGGTGAGATTGGTCTGAGATAGGCTATTAAACCTTAAAGAATTATCTGAGTGATCCAGGAAATGTGCATCATCATGCAGTCATGTGCTTTTCCTCATAACACAAGTGATATCAGCAACATATATAAACACCACCTGTCTTGAGAATGTATAACCGCATCTTGCAGAGTGTTGAACACCTGCCGCCATGTCTGGATCAGACAATAGACACTATTATTAGTGAGTTTGTGGTGACCAACGATGCATAATTTTGCAGAAGTTATCGGAGAGCCAACTGTTTTTTGTAACAAGTTACACTGGTTACATATTGTGAGAATTTATCTTGTACACGTTGACTAAAGATCCAATTTTTTAATGCCTAATAGTATGTTAAAATTGAAGTCGGAATCTAATAAGTTGTAATCACTTGAAATCATCGTAATTTGATTTGACTAATAATGTTCAATTAAATGTTTTTAATACTGTCAAATGATTCAGACTTTTCATGTTTAAATATTGTCAAAATACTGTTTATTTTTTATTTATTTTTTATTTCTTAGTTGTGCCCTGATGTGTAAAAGTTATAGTCATAATCTGGTTAGTTATTTTGAATCGTCCTAATTAGTTATTCACTAATATTATTCAATTATATATATTTTAATATTTGTGAATTGATTTGCACTTTTACATGTTTAAAGATTGACTGAAATCCTATGATGTTTTCTGAGTTAATGCCTAATAATGCTTTAACTGTGTAATCGGATGACAGTTTTAATCATTTCCAATCATCGTAATTTGAGTTGATTTAATATTATAAATTTATATGTTTCAATACTGTGAAATACAATTTGTACTTTTACATGTTTAAATGGACGGAAAATACTATGTTTTTTATTTCTTAGATATGGCTAATGTGTTAAAATTGTTGTCTTAATCTGATTACAAGTTCTAATCCTTTGGAATCATCAATTCAAGTTCTTGACTAATGTTATTCAATTATTTGTTTAAAACTTTTATAAATTATTGAAGCTTTTACATGTTTAAATTGACTGAATTCTGTTTTAATTTAGCTAATGCCTAATAATGTGTTAAAATTGTACTTGTAATCTGATTACAAATTGTAATTTCAAATCGCTGTAATTTTGATTTGACTAATACATTTTTTTAATATTTTTAATGCTTTTACATATTAAAATAGACAGAAAATGCTGTAATTTCTTAGTTAATGCCCAACAATGCATTACAATTGTGGTCGTAATCTGATTACTAGTTTTAATAGCTTCGAATCGTTGTAATTGGAGTTATTGATTAATATTCAATTAAATTTTTAATATTGTGAAAAGTGGTTTAATCTTTTACATGTTTAAATATTGACTGAAAGTCGTACTTTGAGTTATTGACTGATATTATTTATGAATTTTAATTGACATGGTAGCGCTAATAAATTTGTGTTTACTGCCGATTTAATCCATTAACTGACATCTACCTAGACTTTATGATATGGAAAACCTTACTGGTTCTGCTTTATAATCCTTTTAGCAATTTTAACTTGGTTAAAATGTATGTTTCCATGGTTCCATACCCTTTTTATGTTGAGGACAAAAGGAGATATTTTGAAATGTAAACCTGTAGCCATTGACTTCCATAGTATTTGTTTTTCCCATTTATAGGAGTCAGTGGTTACAGGTTTCCAACATTCTTCAAAATATCATCTTTTGTCCTCACCAGAAAGAAAGAGAAACAGGTTTGTGTTTAGTAAAGGTTCAGGACAACCAAAATTGTATGCATTCATGTGGTTTCATTATAATTATTTTTGTTTTCACCAGAAACATGAGCTCTCAGGTGAGACAGAATTTTGAGGAGGCCTGCGAAGCGGCCGTTAATCGTCAGATCAACATGGAGCTCTATGCATCTTACGTCTATCTTTCTATGGTAAGAGTCCAAGGCCATTTGAGTGAAAGTAGTGCTCTAGGTGAAAGGGTTGATGGGGAAAGTGTCATTGGGTTTATTCAACACTTTGTCTGGTGGTTCAGTTAATGATTGACTTGTGATGTTTCTTTCATGCAGTCGTACTACTTCGACCGAGACGATCAAGCTCTGCACAACTTTGCAAAGTTTTTCCGCCATCAGTCCCACGAAGAGCGCGAACATGCTGAGAAACTGATGAAATTTCAGAACCAGAGGGGAGGGAGGATCTTTCTGCAGGACGTGAAGGTACGTTCATGTGCTGATAGTGCAACAGTTTTACAGAGTGAGGAAATACTCTGAGATAGAGGGAGAATGGGGTCGGGTGGGGTTTTATCTTGAACTCGCACTGATGATAAACTGCAACTGACAGTAAGCATGTTTGTTCAGTTGAGGGATTAAAGCATAAACGTGTTTTTTTGCACTATGATGCTGTGTACCCATGTTTTTTTGCTCAAAAGTGAAGACTCTACTTAATGTTTGTACTGCATAATTCCCCACAGTCAAACACATTTTACTGCACTGTCCTGCTTTAAATGATTCCAGAAGATATTTTTTATGAAATTAACTCTTAAGGACATTTTCAGTAAAGTGACACCAGGAAAATGTATGTATTAGCATTATAAATCTTATTTGATTCGTGTATTCATTTGTGTGTATATATTAGTTAACCTTTATTGTCCGTTCTGCTTTGATTTAAGCCACCAACTGCATACATTCAACAGTCACACAATAGCAACACATCAAGAGAACAAGTTAAATATTTAAAAACCAAATCAGCCCCATACGTATTACTGCATTCTTGACAACCACCCTATTCACTTCAAACAGTGATCCGATTTAAGACAACTGCAATTGAGATAAATGACTCGAAGCATTTCTTTGGGCTTTAGGAATTCTAAACCTGCGTCCTGATGGTAACACTTCAAAAGCTGAGTGAATGAGGATGTATCTTTACAAATAACAATTGCTTTTTTTTTCCCATAAAGGAGTCAAATGGAGTCTGTAGCGAATGTAGTTTGTGACCCTTTTTTTTTTTTTTTTTTTTGCCTGATTGATGTTTTTTTTTTTTCTTCCCCTCTTTCTTTTTTTTGTTTGTGTTATCAAAAATGAAACCATTACATGTGAGCACTCTCTATTAATGATATATATGCCATGTTTAAAGTGTGTACTAACATTAAAACTTCTCAACTTTTGGAGGAGACTGAGGCGCTGACTTGCTGCCTTATAAACGGCCTCTACATTACTGTTAATTTATTTTGTCAAAGATTGTGCATACTTTAAAGTTTGAGACCTGCGCTACTATTTTTCCCCGTTTATGATAACTGGCTTATAACATCTAGTATCTACTGCTTTTATTTGCCATTTTATATTTTTATATATTTATTTTTATACATTTATATATTTGACAAATATATATTTATTATTATAATGAATTATTAATTATTGAAATGTTTTTGCCATGAAAATAGCCTTGGTTGTTGTGGCATAAAATAAAAAAATACATTACATTACGATGCTATGCGTCATGTGAATGGCATGTTGTACAAGTTTAATAGGGAAGTGCTGGTTAATTATTTTCATTAATAATGGAAAAATGGCTGGTTCATGTGATGTGCTTTTGGGAAGTTGGCATGTGATGACTGTCTGATCCGATGCCACGCCATCAAAATTTAGATTTACTCATTTAGCATTTTTATTTGTAGGGCTTAAAATGAGTTCTGTTTTATATCTGATTTCATTATTTGAATTGAAAACCAGTTCTCATTTACAATGATGACATGGCTTTTCTAGCATTTACTGTTAAGGAAACAACCATATAACTAAGTTATGTGCTGAGGAAAACGCCTATCAAGTGTATTCAACAACACATGTAGCTGTCCAAACTAAACATGTGGGCTTGAAATGTCTTTACAAAGCTGATGGAAGACTGTGCTGTGCCTGCTTAATTCTGTCAAACACTGTTAATGTTTTAAGTTCTTAATGCTAATAAAAGGTTTTAGGCACAGATTCTTATGTACATTTTATTGAAGTCTAAAAAATAAAACGAGTGTTTAATTTACTTTGTGACGTCTAAAATTGTAATTATACAAGTTAAAATATAATAATAAAATAAAATGGTAGATTTTTCTAATACCAAGCAGCCCCAGTGCGACTTGTTTTATTCTGATGTATATTGCGATACGAGTTTGCGAGTTAAGAGGTCAAATCATTTAGGTAGCGCATGCAAGTTTAATAAAGGTTAATTTTATTGAATTGTTTGACTATTTCTGTATCTGAATACTGTTACTCTCTCCAGAAAACTAAGGCGTAATTTTATTACTTTAATATGTGCTCTATTGTTTTGTTTTTTTGTTTGTTTTTTACTGTAGCTTATGTAATAAATTGCATTGAAATTAACTTTTTACTCCCATACAAAAGTCTCAATCTAAAGTAATGACCTTGCGAATAGCGAAACTTGTATTTATATCGCAATGTTTTATTTTATTTTTTGCGATGTCAAAGTACTGAGTGCACTTCATTTTATTTAAAAAAAAAACATTTGGCTTTTATTGAAAACTGGAAAAAATAAATACTCTGCTCAGAGGATAAATGCTTTAGTAGACTCTTATATTGATTTAGTCAGTAACTAAATTATTCATACTGTGCTGAAAGATTTTGCTCATGCCACTTAAAATTTGCCTCTACCAGAAACCAGAGAAGGACGAGTGGGGAAGTGGTGTGGAGGCGCTGGAGTGTGCCCTGCAGCTGGAGAAAAGCGTCAATCACTCCCTGCTGGAGCTCCACAAGCTGGCATCTCAACACAACGACCCTCACGTGAGTCCTGTGAAAAGCATTATGGGTTATTACTGCCTGGTTTGCATGCATACTTAAAATAATTAAATTTTTTATGGCTTTTAAAAATAAATGTTTTGTGTGTGTGTGTAAAATGTACATTAGTTGCAGAATTTCCGTTTAATTTAAATGCATTTTAATTGACATTTATATCATTAAACACGGCAACGCATGACTTTACAGATATCTTATGACGCAGGGCTTAGTTTGTGTCGGAACACTCTGGATCCGTCACCTCTGAAATCTGAGCTAGCATCTCATTTTACCGAATTTTTTTTTTCCTTTTTCTTTTTCCCCTCCCCTCTTCTTCTCCCCTGTTCGTTAATCACTACTACGACTCCCTAACCCTCTTCACTTGTCCGCGACACTCCCTCCCCGCTCCCTTTTATCCGCAACACCACTTCGCCATTCAACCTCCCCTTCGTGCATGACACCTCCATTTCACAAATTAAGCACTGTTATGACCTAACTACAGTTTGCCCTGAGAACATGTAGTGCAAACAAAACAAATTGTTACAAACTAGCTAGTAGGTACTAATCCCCTAGTGTGGACTTGGCCCGTTTCCACCGAGTGGTATGGTATGGGTCGCCTTTATCAGGCTCGCGTTTCCACTGCTAAAAGAGTACTAACAGTACTCTTGGTGGGCGTGGTGTACAACAAAGTTCTTGCCTTCCTTTGAACATAATTTGATTATAATCGCGGATCAATGACGAAATGGCCTACTGTAACGTCTGCAGTTATATGAAATAAATGCAACGTGTATGAACACATACAGACCCTTAAAGTCTCTGTTACCAAGTACAAAAGAACTACACATCATACATTTTGTTCTTATTTGGGTTCAAAAACAACTCTACAAATAGCACACAGTCAGAGCAGACCTCTCATCTGTGTCTTTAATCTTCACCAGCACATGGAACCTCATAGAAAGTAATTCCATCATTCCGAGTTCATACTAGTCCAAAGGGTGATGATAATAGATTGACACAGCAGTTGGTTCATAGTTTAGGTTGCTGAAAGAATAATTTGCTCCCTTTGTTTTTACCAGCTTCTCCTTTTTCTCGAACAACAGTCTTGCGTTTGTCCGTTTCTAAAAGTGTCAGATGTCAGAACCACTCCAACAGTCATGCGCACAATATTATCTTAACTTATTTCAGATATGGACGTGTGAAGAGTGCATGCAAGAAAGTGAAACCGCTCGCGCTTTAGGCGGACTTAAAAAAATTAAAAATAAATAAATAAAACTATGGGACACAGGGTAGATTCTGCTCTTCATGGCTTTGTGGCTGTTCAAGACGACGACAAGGTTTTAATGAGCTCAGGTCGACCATGGCTCGTTAGAAAGCTCCGCTTTATTGGTACCCTTTTGTTTTGTCCTTTGCAAAGGGTACGTAAAAAGTGGTACGGTTCGTTTTGGGTACCTTTTGACAGTGGAAACAGCCATAAAAGCATACCATATAACTCTGTGGAAACAGGCCATAGGTTACAGTTAAGGACAGAACTTGCAAAACTTACAAACTTGCAACAATTGTCCCACTTTTGAGTGATTGGTTCACTGCTGTGGAAGTTTAGCGTTTCACATGGCATCTAAAAAAGGCATGTTCACATGCTGGGAGCTTCAAAGATGCAAGCGTAACAGTCACATGACTTCGTCAAGCGCATTTACATTGAATAAGAGAGGTAGCACATTGAACAGGAAAAATGTGTTGTGTGAGCCACTCCTTTTAGCCTTTTAGTTTTTAGCACTGCATCTCTTATTTTATTTGTATTCTTATAGAAAAGTAATATCTAATGTTGGTGAATACTTTTGTTGCTGCCATAATATAGCCAGAGAAGCTGATAAGCAATAAACTCTTTCTCTTACAGATGTGCGATTTCATTGAGACACACTACTTGGACGAGCAGGTCAAATCCATCAAAGAACTGGGCGACCATGTGACCAACCTGCGCCGCATGGGTGCCCCGCAAAACGGCATGGCTGAGTACATGTTCGACAAGCTCACGCTTGGCAAAGAGAGCAGCTAAAGGCTCCGTCCATCTTTGTTTTCCTTTGCTGATTAGTATTGCTATATAAGTGTTTATTACTCTACATGCCATCCAACTCTATTTTATGTTAACCGGTCATCACGTGTGGCTGGATATTTAAGCAGAACCTCCTAGCTTGTTGGGAATCCGACATGCTTTGCTGTTTAAAGTTTCACTTCGTACCAAAAGCCATTGCATTTTCTCCAGCTCGTTCACAGTTTGACCTCTCTGCATCTGCATGTGCTGCTTGTGTGATCTGTCAATCAAATTATGCTCCAAACCCAATAAAGCAAAACCTCTGGAATCTGAACGTAACTCTTTACTCGCTTTGTTTCCAGATTTAAGGGTTTTTCACGAAAGTTACAGAAAATGGCTTATTTGTAAACATGATCAACTATATTGCATTAGGAAATTAAGTTCTTGCATAGTTTACACTAGAAAACTATTATTAGCCCCTCTTTTTTTATATAGATTTTATTGCTAAATAAATAATTTACAGACATATGAATGGCATTTTCTGGTGACAAGAAGGAAAACTTTCAATCTGTAAGCGTCAACACAGACAGTTAATGTATTTATTAAAAAATGAGGAAATGTATTAAGAAAAAAAAACAAAGGCTTCGAAGATGCCAGTGGTGAGAGTAATTCAGGCAGTTCTGGTGTTCATAAGCATCACATTAAAAACAAAAGTGGTTGAGAAGGAAATTTTTAAATTCCCACTTCTCTTTTCAACAGGTGTTCTATAACCCGGGCGGCATTATTTCTGTATTTACTTCCTCTTCCACTTAAACCGTCATTTACAGTTGAAGACCAAATGATTGGCTTTTTAATTAATCTTTTTCACAAACATGTTTAACTTGTTTTTTTTTTTTGTTTTGTTTTTTTTTTTTTTTGTTTCTTGCTGTATTTCGTACTATAAATATTTATTGTAATCTGTCTTTTTTGGTTTTTAGTTATTATTCGTTCTTTAGTATTCAGTTTGGCTGGAATAAGTGTTTTTTTTTTTTTTTTTTTTTCTGCTAATATCAATATTATTTGTCCCTTAAGATATTATTTTTGTTTGATTGGCTACAGAACAAATTACTGTTATCCAATCACTTGCCCAATTATCCTAATTAAGTTAAGCCTTTAAATGTCACTAAGCTGAATACTAGAATCTTGCAAATTAACTAGTAAAATATTATGCACTGCCATCATGGCAAAGATAAAAGAAATTAGTTATTACGAATGAGTTATTAAAACTGTTTAAAAAAAATGTGTATAAAAATTAAACCTTGATTTCAAAATATTTGAAAATTCAAATTTCGCAGGCTAATAATTTTGCCTTTAACTGTATATATGAATAGAAGCCAAACATACAATCCTTATGTATGATAAACAATATACATTACCTGACAAAAGTCTTGTTGTCAATCCCAGTTGTAAGAGCAGCAAGTAATAACTTGATTTGTAGTTGTTCATTTGTAAACGTGGCAGAAGGTAGATTTTTTTCTGTTGAGCTGTGTCACAATCATCACAAATACTGCAGAAGATCTATTGGAACCCAAAATTCTGTGAAGGAAAAGTCATGGTTTGGGGTTACATTCAGTATAGGGACATGCGAGAGATCTGCAGAGTGGATGATGACATCAACAGCCTGAGGTATCAACACATTTGTGCTGCCAATTACAGTACAAACCACAGGAGAGGGCAAATTCTTCAGCAGGATAGCGCTCCTCATACTTCAGCCTCCACATCAAAGCTCCTGAAAGCAAAGAAGGTCAAAGTATCATGCAAGCTCATGGGAGTCAGACAGAATATTCATTCTTTGCAGCGTGACTTTATATTCTATACTGGACAAAATTTCTGTTAAGTGTCAAGACTTTTGTCTAAGCAAAGTCAGACCTTACTGTCCTAATGAAATTATTTAAAATCAAGACATGATCATATTTTATTTTGGTAAAATAAGCATAAACTAGAGACCTTTGCCTTTCATATAGGCCACTTCTGATACCAAATGATCAACTAAAAGTCAAGTTATTATTTGTTGTTCCTAAAACTTGGATAAGCAACAAGACTTGTGTCAGGTAGTGTACAGTACTGTAGAAAAGTAACTATAGAAAAGGCTAAATTTTAAGTAGTGGTAAACTATAAAATAAAACTATGTGTTGTATCATATGTAGAAACATTTGCATTCCTGCTGATAAAAAAATTGGCACAAAAAATGTGGCTTTGCGTTGATTCATGCACCTGTGAAAGATTACCCACACACACAAACACAGACACGTGTGCACTCAATACTATGTTTAAAAAATATTACTGAGAACACATTTTAATGTGTTTATGTTCATTGTGTACATTTAATAAGTATAAAAGTTACTATAATTCAGTCATTCATTCATTTTCCTTCAGCTTAGTCCCTTATTTATCCAGCGTCCCCACAGCGGAATGAACCACCAACTATTCCGGCATATGTTTTACGCAGCGGATGCCCTTCCAGCTGTAGCCCATTACTGGGTAACACCCATACACTCTCATATCCACACACACACACAATCATACACTACACCCAGTTTAGTTAATCAAATTCACCTATACCATAATTCCTAACATAAATGTAAATTAGTCAGACCGTAAAAAACTGCTGAAGATTAAAACTGACAAAAATGTGGTTTTGGTTTGGTGCACACACCTGTGAGAGATCACACACACACACACACACACACACACACACACACACTCAATATTCAACTTAAAATGATGAATGGAAACAGATTTTAAAGTGTTTACATTCATTTTGTGCTTTCATCATGTACAAGTTACCATGATTTCTATCTTAAATGTTACTTATTTATTTAGTACATTGTAATAATCTTACTCAATTTAAAGGTCCCATGAAATTTAAATAAAGTTTTTAGATGTTAGTATCAGAATTGATGGTTTTTAGGATATCTATAAGCTAGTGTGAACCAAAACAGTGACAAAATTCACATGTAGAAGACATAAAACTGATTTAAATATGTAAAGCTTGTAGTTTGTCACTTCCGCCTAAATTGATCAACAGTTATATTCACGTCACCTCATACTAGGCATACTCTGATATGGATTTTTACAGCCGATACAGAGAACCGATTGCTTGTTATGTTGATCGGCCAAGTACGGATTCTAATGCTTCAAGCTTTATAATGCATTAAGCACATTTTCCCTCTAAGTATGATACTTCAGTGAATGAATTAAAGGTGTTGCATATAATCCCTTAGACCATTTCCTTTTACCATTTAGGTGTAAACATATCATCGCCAGAAGCAGCTTTACAGAAGATAACGTAACACATTTAAAAACTGGTAAGAAAAATTACAATCGATCTGCTCGTGTAACAGAAGCTCATAACACGATGAATAAAATGGTTGCACTTGCAACAAAGAGACCATCGCTCACGCCAGTTGCACCAACAGAGGAATTACCAACCTACGTCACACATGACGTCACACGGGTTCCCGGTTGCAAAAAGAGACTGGGTGCAATAGCAAACATGACTTCTTGTGCGGTGTGATGCCAAATTCGAAAGTCCAAAAATAAAAAAAGGAACTTTTACCGTACACCACACTGCTTTTAATGCCAACCACAGACGTCTTTGGCTAAAAGGTAGCTAAAAGGAGTGACAACCCAATTAAAAATGCTGGACTCTGCAGTTCTTATTTCATATCAGGTAAGTTCACGCTATGCTGAATCATACACATTACTCATTTTTGATTGCAGCAATGATTTCAGCAAAAACAGTTAAATATGGTGAATTAAACTGCGGACACTGAATGCTAAGAATGAAATGTAAAAGTGTAAGTTCACATACCCTGCCGTACAGGTGCAGTTCGCTGTCAGAATGTAGTTTTGCTTGTTGATGATTACCCAGGCCTTGTACAGTTCCAGCTTCTTTCCTTGTCTTTGGCTCGGTTTTTAGCACTACATAGTTTTGAATCTGGAAATCATGGATCATTATTTCTTGCACATGATCACACAGAACAACATTGTAGGCATTCAAAGACTTGTAGGCCTTTAACTTCTCTCTTGTAAAAACACTTGAAGTTTCAATGAGATAGTTGTATATTTGGGGCTGGATGCTTGGCCATTTCGTCATATCCAATATCCATTCCCTGCTGAAAAATTCAGCTTAAACCAGCCTAGGATGGTTAGCTGGTTTTAGCTGGTTAACCAGGCTGGTTTCCAGCCATTTCCAGCCTGGGCTTAGCTGGTCAGGCTGGAAAAGGACGTACTCAACTTTTAAATGCACTTGACTCGATTTAACTCAAAAAGATGACCAGCTAAAACCAGCTTGACCAGCCTGGCCAGGCTGGGAGCCCAGCCAAAACCAGCTATGTCCAGCTTAAACAAGGCTGGTCAAGCTGGTTTTAGCTGGTCATCTTTTTGAGTTAAATCGAGTCAAGTGCATTTAAAAGTTGAGTCAACTCAAAAAGCTCTGCAGCAAGTTCATTCATTCATTTTCTTTTCGGCTTAGTCCCTTTATTAATCTGGGGTTGCCACAGCGGAATGAACCGCCAACTTATCCAGCAAGTTTTTACAAGTGGTGCTCGCTGCAGAGCCATTTGGCCGAGCTGAGCTCCAGCGAGGGGGAGCTTGAGCTTGAGCTCCACCTTTTTTGCACTTCTTCTACGAGTGATGTCACTGGGGGTAGGGTTAGGGGTGGGGTTGGTGTACGCATTAAAACAGCTTACAGGAGGCAGAACGAGAGCTCATGCTCCCCCTCGCTGGAGCTCAGCTCTGCTCAAATGGCTCTGCAGCGAGCACCCTCTCAGTTTTTATGCAGCGGATGCCCTTCCAGCCCCAACCCATTACTGGCAAATCTGCAGCAAGTTGCCTTACAATTTTGAGTTGAGTCAACTTTTTGTTTTTACGCTTAGTGTCAGAATGAGATGTTTATCGTATTTGGTGAATAAAAGGGAAGAGCAAACAGGGAACGAGAAGCACGAGACTAAAGGTGAATAATAGCGTGTTTATAGTGACAGCCGTGTCAATTAAACAAATATGAGGAAGTCAGTGTTACCAGGTGGCGAAACAGGAAAATCTTTGATTCACAGCAGCTGTTGTGTGTCTGTGTTTGGGGAGATGTGGAGACATAAACCGGAACAATCTGGTTTGGTGAACAAAATGCATGTCATGGTGAGCAATGCTTTGTTGCACTGATTATATAAGATTATATAAGAAAATGATTATCCTTTCATTGTCATAGGACATGTTAGTTTCTTGCATTTTTAAGGCCAAAAGAAAAGAAGGAGCTAATAAACAAAAAGTTTGACATTGTGTATTGGGATTTAC